CCAAGCCTCCTAGTCAGCTCTAACTATCCGGTACCGTCGTTATGAATGATAAGTGTGAGGCGCTTAAACAGCTCAATCTCTGTAATTGCATCTGTCGCACTTTCAGGTCCATTCAGCCTGCTGGGCAACGGATACTGTCGGACATCTTGGAGCTAAGCGTGATGCCTGACCTGGTGGTGATATTGCGCTCCGAACGATGAATCCGGCTTCCCATATTACAGACTAGGATGACATCATCTGCGGATATCCTAAGCTATTGTGCCTTTTCTGTAGAACGGAACGCTCATCTTTTCCTTAAGGGTCTACTTTGCCTTAGCGAAGGGTTCACTTTGAAGACGAAAACACATTTGCCTGGCGAACTTGACGGTTAGCAAAAACGACGTGATCGGCTGTCGCTAGCATTTTAAGATTTCCACATCGCCGAAGGATGCATTGAACCAAATTCACAGTTACAGTCGACGTAGGTAATAAACCAATTCAAGTAAAATCACCAGCGTTGCATGCGATTTTACGGAGAAGACTGAAAACTATCAAAGCGGCAAGAATAGACCGTGCAAAAGCTCATGCAGAACGAACGGAGTTTCCTATGGACTACCTCTCGTAGAATTTCCAATGGACCAGGAGAACAGTTACAGTTTACTGAGAGTTTACAGTTGCGTGATTCCACGATATTTCCAGCCCCCATGCATAACTCCCTTAATTATGCTATTCGACCTGTCCTCGTCATTAATGTGTCATGAATGCAAGTCGGCAGTCCACGGTATTCTATTTATTTGCCTTTTGCCTCCATCTCTGGCCAAGAAATTTGGCATCGGTTCGTTCCACGGTATCCTTAGATGACCGAATGGGCATCTGAGATCTACTGGCATCGAATGTATAAATCCTGCCTGACTTCCACCAGTTATCTCTCAGTTCCACATGACCATCTCATCTTTTCCTGGCGTCGTAGAAGGCACAAGTCATGTCTGTGAATCCAGACTGTTTATGAACTTGTACCCTCAGAACGTGATCCAAGAGGGGGACCTTGCATGTTCTTCTCTCTGTCGCTCCTTGTGTGACTATCAATTTGTTCTCTTCGCGTTTAGCAGTAGTAGATCAAGTAGATCAACGACGCGGATCATGGC